GATGTCAGTAATGTAAAACAAAATACGACCGGACACGGGGGGGGGGTAATACTAGTAATTCAGTCTGTTGTTAACAATATGAGAATTTCACCTTTCATTTACACATATCAGCAGCAAAAAAATGAACACTTAGAATCGTATATGTAGTATTTTTTCTTGAAATATGACGCACTTGTTTGCCAATAGATGCGGCATTCTGACAGCCTTTAAAATGGGTTCTGCATTTTTGTTGGGTGGAACTCGCCATATGGGCGAGCATTCGAATCTCGTGAAATCAAACAATACAATGTATACAAACATTGTACACGCGTCGCATGGGACCGGCAACGAACCGTTATGCTTGAAGTGACTGCTCTACCCAATCGGTAAAATCAAGACCAGACAGAGTATTACACCAAAAGCACGGTTAGTAGAAGTATCTGTGACAAAAAAAAGAGTATATGTATACGCTCCAACAAGCAATACTCGCAGTAAGCGCTTCGGGGTTTTTTGTTATTGATGAGCTTTTGAAATTTGCTTCCTTGAAATTCATCGGATATAGTGTTGGGCAATACCGGTGTCGTATATCAAAACCCGGATACACTGACACATGTGAAAATAGGCTCTTTTCCCACAAGTTGAAAGAAAATACGACTACCACCGTGCGTTACTGACGAATCCCAACTACATCTGCACACGGGGATTTAACCCATGTGCGTGCGCGCGATGACCGACTTCAGCGCTCAGGTAAATGATATATTCGTCCCCAAACAAAACAAAACAACTGCATAAAAATAAATGGAGATACACACACGTTTATTTGAAGCGCCTCATACAACGCGCGTTAATATTTACAACTATATGAAATTCGGACGCGTGCGTCGCGTTGCGGGCGTGACGCTTTAGTCGCCATGCGCACAAGGAGCAGCGTTCCAAGGACATTTGAGAAACCAAGTTTCAGTGTAATAAATTGCTTGAATGTTTGAGTAAACTTGTTGTGGTATACTAGTACATATTACATAGACTCTAGTCAAGTTTGGATTACTACGCATTTTGTTTCATCATCGCTATAATTCTACTGAATGTATTACTTTTTTGTGTATATGCATTCTTCATTACAGTGCGCGAAATATTTCTTTTTCAATATCGTTCATGGTTCTAAATTTATAGGACTTTTTGTTTAAAAAAAAAGAAGAGTTTATTGGCCCCAAAAAATAGCAAGAAAATTTATCTTCATATCTATACAATATAAAGAGAAAAAAATCTCAAATTAATTCATACGTGTACAGAACAATCAAAATAATGTATTCACTTGAAAACGAGAAGCGATTAAAATATGCCGAGTTAGAAGGAAGTTACCGTAAAATACTTTTTATTTTTATTTTAGCTAGAATTAATGTTCGCTCAAAATGTATTTTCGCTATTTTATATGAAGATGATTTCACTGATTTTCTATTTCAGCAAAAAATAACGAAATAAATTCGACGTGAAAATAAAGTACATGTATATAGTCATATAGTGTAAAATAGGTTATTTTAGACTGATTTTCGATTAGTTGAATGTAAAATATAGCTAACAAAGGCATATTCGCTGGATTTGATTCTCACTGAATCATTCCATCGGTGAGAAGAGCGAAAATAATGTATTTTACACACTACACATTAAACGTTGGAGAAAAAAATACCTTGGCCACTTACACAGTGATGACATTCTACCACACTCAAAAAAGAAAATGATTTGCCAGTATGAATAATAATTACGTGGACGTACAACGTATCATGCAGCAAGGCACGCACGTTTCAGTAACAACGACAACCTCTACTAACCGCGTACATTGACCCTCCGGCAATTGCTGCTATTAACAATATCAGTGACACTTCACTGTAAAGCGTGGCAACGGATCAATATAACCTCAATCTCGTCAAATGGCGGGTACCTGCTTCCATGTTGACAAGCTGTCGCTCGCTGCACTCCGGGGATGACGGCTCGAGTAGCATATCAAAGAAATGTACATTATCAGCCCACGCATATTTTTTTTTCTTTTTTTTTTCAAGTCACCAAGAAGCATGAAGTTGGCATTTCACGTCTGTGCGATTTTATTATTATTATTATTATTATTATTATTATTATTATTATTATTATTATTATTATTATTATTATTATTATTATTTTGTAAGCGACAACCAAAAAGTGAGTAGGCAAATGAAACGAAAATGACACACATACAGCACTTTATTTTTACATTTGGCTGATTACTCACACAAGTGTCACGCGTTAATGACTGACGCCGAAGAATTCTTGATCAAACACACCGATGAAAACGGTGCACTGAAAATACAAAAACAAAATTGAAAAATATCGAGACGATATATTTTCTAAAAATATATGCTTCAAACATTCTTGAAATCCTCTAGTAGTAAAAGGCAAAGTGGCTCAATTTTAATGTATTAATCCGCACGCATAAGATAGTCCCTACTACCCATCGAACATGAAAGGTAAACGGTGGCCTGAACAATTCATCCGCCTTTCGTGTGTCTGACATTAACGATATTCAACATTTCCCGAACCATGTTTTCAAGGTTGCCAAGCAACATTGTCGACACCTACCACCGCACTATGTTTGCCCACTCTGTAGTTCCGGCTCATAAGTTACGCCTCGCTTCATTGGACAGCATTGTGTTCGTGACTGCCGATCTATCATTTTTATCAAACCAGAAAAGGTTTTACAAAACTGTTTCACGAACGCGCATGTACATGTTATACTGAGGTGTGAGAACGATTGGACCTCCCCACTCCGAGCGACAACTGATGTGTTAAATGAGCGAACGACTTGGTGATTTTAGTATCACGTGCTGTTTTTTTCTCAACATGTCATACGATTTGTGGCTTGCCTAGCAATAAACACTAAAGTACTTGAAATACTCTATTTATCAGACTGCGGTATGACAAGGAAATGTTTGATATTAAACACCGCGAAATCTGAAAAAAAAAGTTCCAATTCTTTGTATGCACGAGACAGTGACCGCGCGCGTCACAAGCAAATTGCGAACGAGGCTACCCGCTACTGACGTAATAGGACGGAATATCGTGTGCACAATAAATCCGTAAACAGTCTATTGAGAACGTAGTGCACGAAAAAGTCATCTACGCGATTGATATGTGTATAGGTCAAACGACTGAGATCGGTAATTGTCTCATGAACATTATCACCCTCTTGACATTAAAAAAAACAGGAAGACGCAGTCGGAACACCGATGATTGCGTCGACATTTGGGGCATCACAACTAATATTAAGATGTACATGTTCAACCGGTTATTATATTGCGGAACGAGGTCAATATATCGCGAGTTTTTAGCTGTCGGTGAGGTAACGAATCTACGTGAAATGGTACAACGACCCACGCATATCCGACTTAGAATCGGGCTTAGAATCAACTAAATCCGCTGTAGTATAGTATAGTGGGGAACTAGTTTCATCCTGGAAACTCACTAATTAAAGCAGGAGAGTCGTCACATACGCATGCGTCAGGTGTCCATAGCGCGTCATTGTTTACATAAGCGTCTACCCATGAGCCTTTGCGTTCATAGTGTGTGTTGTTATCATGGCTTGGGACTCAATTCCCGCGTGTGCGCAGGCTTTTCGAGTCTGACCTCGATTATTTCTTCATTTTTGGTATTCAACTGCCATTAAGTAGAAGCCCACTCATAATTTTTGAGAAAATTGGTCATAAATCACATGACAGTGTTCATTGGTTTATTATGTACAATCATGGAGCTATTGTCCCATGGCACCATGAAATAGCATTATTTTAAGTGTTACAATGACATAGTTTTGGAAAACTTTCACAATACTTTTTCAAAAATCGTTATTTTTTTAATAATTCTATAGAGCACTTGTTCAAGAAAAATTGCTTTTTTTACACTTTTTTAAAACCCAGATTTAAATAATTCAAGTAAAGTGGTCTATTATTAACAATATACGATTTTTTTTTTTGAGACAATGTCACCAGCCTGGAATTTGAGTTATGGCTTGATATCTCTACCATATAAAACGTTATAATACTGACAAAATGGCCACTGACCACTAAAATAAAACTAAAATTTTCTCGAAAATAAGGCTGGTGGCCTCAACTTTTTTTATGTCCGGGAGTGCGATGTAATGCAAAATAAATAAAATATGGGTTTTTGCATTTATGAGTAGGCATAACGGGGGAGGTAGGTATAGGCCATAGCGTGTTATTGTTTCCAAATAAGCGTCTTACCATTTGCATTTTTAGCGTGTGTTGTTATCGTCGCTTAGGACTAAATTCTCACGCATGCGCGAGACATATGGGTCTCATATAAACAAAGATGGCGGCTTTGACTGTTACGCAGATCAACGAGTACAAACTGAGACGTTACCAAGCTTTAATGGGGTATTTGTGGGTGATTGAAAGGTATCGAAAGCGTCACTGACGGTAATTAATGCAAGTCGCGCCCAGGTCATACTTGTGATTTCCAAGAACGCATTGGAATATAGGAAAATCAACATTGATCAACACAAACGTCGCACATGCGCAGTCTATTTACTGTATAACTCTGTAATAAACATATTCTTTCATATTATGGTTGTGCGAGTCAATTCACCTTCACACCGTAAAACAATTCGCATCACTGTTAGCGCACTACTTTGTTGTAATCACTGCATTTCTTTAAAAAAAAATAAAAACACTCAATTCACGATAAGTCTGCGAGCAAACGCACCAATGGTAACACGGGGCACACGCATGCGCACACCAGTCTGGGTACAATCTAACGCATTGTGTACCGAAGCACTTGTTGGACACAGCCTGATCACCGGTAATTCATAAAAAGTCAGCACCATATCACTCCGCACTAACCGACTCGGGCGATGCAGTATGTTTGTCGTTCTGAGACCGGGCGATTATTCTACTTGAGACCGGTATTCTTATGGATATTTTTACAGGATCCGATAGGCACTACTCGTAACGACTTTCTTTCGAGGGTTCGAAGATCAGAAAATGACGTCTACACCCGTGAGCTTGGTAAGTATTCATTTATATCTAATAGTATTACCCTCTATGTTACATTCTTCTATAGCAATAATTCGGCCATTTTGTTTTTTAGCGGATGTCATTATTACGTTGTTTTTT